ACTGGCCCTCATATGTGGGATCCGAACCGGGGCCCTCTGGCATCCCAAGCGAGTTCTTAACCATCGCGCCACTCGGCCGGCCCAGAGTTGGTATTTCTGCTTGTTTGTTTTTTCTTTTAGATTGGTTTCTAAAGGGAAGGGACTATACCAGTGGTACTCCACCATGTTAAACCTAAAAGTCATGTAGACCCCCTTTATAGGAAAAATATTTTAAAATAGAATTAGATTTGTCAAACCCAAAATTTACCATTATTTCATCAGGCTTCAAGTAGTATGAAAGCCTTCATTCACTTACATTTCAAGTTTCCGTTCCATCAGTCAGCACTGATTTTTGTTCTGCTTTGATCTTCAGTAACGTATACTGTCTCTAGACCAGCACTCTGCAGTAGAGCTTTCTAATGGAAATAGTCTGTGTCTGCGCTGTCCAACATGGTAGCCACTAGCCATCACTGTGTGAAATGTTGCTAATGTGACTGATAACTGAGCTTTTAATTTTAAATCATTTAAATTTCAATAGCTACATGTAGCTAATGGCTGCTGAATTGGACAGCATGGCTCTGCACACCCATTTTAACATTTCATTACATACTATCCAACAGCTGTTTATTGGGTATCTTTTGTATGCCAGGCACTGTTGTAGGCCTAAGAAGTGGCTTTTAGCAGTGGTCAAGAAAGGTAAGTTCCTTCTCACTCCACACTTACCTTCTGGGAGGAGCCTTGATGGTGAACAATACACAAACCTGGTAACTTTAGATAATGCTAAGCTCTGTAAAGAAAATAAAATGGGAAGAGATGACTTGAAAGGATTACTTTAAGTAGAGCAGGTCTCTCAGAATATGCCTTTTAAATTACTATTAAATAACGAGAAGGGATCTAGCAGTGCAAAGAGGCCATGTAAACCAAGTATCTTTAAAGCAGAGGAAACGAGGAGAGTGATCCTGAAGTGATGTATGAGGAGCAGACAGGAGTCAGATTATGTTGGGCTTTTTAAGGAATTTAGATTTTTTTTTATGTGTAATGGGAAGTTATTGAAGGGGAGGGGCATGATCAGATTTACTTTTTTAAAAGATGACTCTAGATACTATTTAGAAATTGGATAGATTCATATTGAACTGCTTAAGGCTCTTTTTCTTTTAAAAATATTACTTTAAAAAATAGTTTATATATACACAGCACAAAATTCAAAAGGAAGCCAGTGAGAGGTAAGTTGCCCTCCTTCCCCTGTCTTTCATCCACCCACTTCCCCTCCCTGAAGGAAAGGACTCCAATAGAAGTAACTAAATCACTGTTAATAGTTTCTTACTGCTTACATTGTAATTTTGAATCCCAACTTCCTACCTCCCATTCTGCCTTGTATTCTTTTGTGGCTTAATTTGTATATAAATTTTCAGTGAGATTTGCACTTCCTCAATTACAGCCATTTTATTGACTTCGTTTTATACCCCTTCCATCCTCAACATAATGACTGTCATCTCTAGGCAAAGTAGTTTATTTGTTCAATTAAAGTGATGAGAAATGAATGGATTTCATTCTCTGTCCCTGATAGGAAGAAGTTCTAAAGGATTTTGAAGAATTGGCCGGGAAGCTTCCTTGGTCAGACCCTTTAAAAGTATGGAAAATTAATACCAGTTTCAAAAAGAAAAAAACAAAGCGCAAAAAAATAAACGAGAATTCAAGTAAAGAGAAGATTGGTAATGGACAAGGAGACAAAAGAGATGAGAAAGATGTTAAAAAAGAGTTGACTGACGATGTCTTAGAGTCACATATCTTAGACTATTATGAAAATCCAGCCATCAAAGAAGAGATATCAACATTAGTAGGTGATGATTTGGCATCTTGCAAAGATAGGACTGATGAAAGCTCAAGAGAAGAAACTGCTCCTGAAGTGCTAAAGTTTAGAGTCACATGCAACAGGGCAGGAGAGAAACATTGCTTTTCCTCCAATGAGGCCGCAAGAGATTTTGGGGGTGCTGTTCAAGATTATTTTAAGTGGAAAGCTGACATGACCAAGTTTGATGTGGAGGTAGGTACAGACGCTGGTTGTGATGATTCAAGAAGGCTGTCATTATAGATTTGTAGAATTTTCAGACTAACCCAAACTTATGGACAATTAAACTGAGGCCACAGAGCTAATAGGGTGGGGCTAACAAGAGCGTGGGCTATGGAGACAGATCTAGATTCAGACTTTGATACCACAACTGTGTAACTTTGGACAAGATGCTCTCTCTGAACCTGTGTTCCAAATAGAGCCAGTAGTAATATATGCCTCTAAGAGTGTCCTGAAGGTTAAATGAGATAATATTTTTTTAAGTATTTGGTGCAATACCTGGTATATATAATACTAAGTACTCAATAGATGGGAACTATAAGATTTGAGTTTTCTAATTCCTAATCTAGTACTTTTTACAATGTTATGTGGACTTTCAGATTATAAAATTCAACCAGACTTAAAGCAATTATTTTGTTTCTGTGTGTCTTGGTTGTAGAGTTTTGCCACTAAAAAAAAAGTGGAGTACCTTTTGAAAACAAATGTCAACCTCCTAAAATCAGGACATCATTGCTAATACTCTTCCTAGAGCCAGCTCTCCTCTTTCTTAAATTCTGCTAGATTCTCAAACCTCTTTTTAGCGTGCTTGCTCTCCTTGGTGTCAATATTCTACTACATGGGTGATTCACATATGGGCCATACTAAGTCATCATTAAATCACTGACAGCTTAAAAGGCCCCTAGCAGCTGATGTTTTTACCAAGGAGTCATTTTCTGTTGGGACATTTGAATCTGGAGCAAGTCACTCATTCTCTCTGTAACTTTTTTGTTTTGCATATCAAATCAGAACAATTCTCTCCCCTCTCTTTTTTCCCCCCTCATAACAGCTGTTATGAGAATGAATAGGCTAATTAGAACAGTAAGTAATGTCCAAAAGTTCTCAAGGGGGCTCAGAGGACAAATTCTAGAGCCATACTGTCTGGGTTCAAATCCCAATATATGAGCTGCATGACGTTGGGCAAGTAAGCTGACATCTTTGTGCCTCAGTTTCCTCATCTATAAAAGAAGGATAATAATATCTAGCCCAGAGGGTGTGAATATGAAAAATACGTGTGTAGAATATTGGCTTGCATATAGCTAGATTAGTGTCAGCGGCTGCTGCTAAGATCATGAGGAGGAAATTTTAGGTGGAAGATTAGAGAACATAGTTTATTTTTATTTGAATAGTTTATATTTGTGTTATAAAAACTGTAGGACACAAAACATTTCACGGACATTGAGTCAAGTTAAAAAAAAACTAAGAAAATAAGTGCTAAAGCAAATGTGATACAGTATTAACAGTTGGTTAAAAGTTAAAATTTTTAAAAATGTATATTAAACCCATAGACCTTCAAAATATGTTTATATTAAAATTCAAGGGAAATATGGTTATAGCTAACTTATAAATATAACAAAGGAAAAGAAAAAAATAGATGTTAAAATTTATAAGTAGTATATACTGTATGATTTCATTTATATAAAGTTCAAAAAAAGACAACTAATATATTGTGGTAATGGCCAGGTAAATGATTACTTTGGATGGGTAATGACTGGGAGGGGAAAAGGAAGCCTTCTGGTTAGCTAGAAATATTGTATATCTTTATCTGGGTGGCAGTTACATGGTGTACACAGGTAAAGATTCACTGTGCTGCACACTTAAGATTTGTGTATTTTACTGTATCCAAAGTATACCTCAATAATAAAAAATTAATAAAGCCTGAAACTTAAAAATCCTAGTAATAAATACAGTTTGAACAATTCTAAAGCTATGTTATTCTGTCTTGTGTTACTGTAGGTGCTTTTGAATATCCATGATAATGAAATCGTTGTGGGCATTGCATTGACAGAAGAGAGTCTCCACCGAAGAAATATCACACATTTTGGACCTACAACTCTTAGATCTACTCTTGCCTATGGGATGCTCAGGTAAGAGAATGGGTTTACCTTCTAGACCAGTGGTTCTCAACCTGTGGGTCGCGACCCCTTTGGGGGTCGAATGACCCTGTCACAGGGGTCGCCTAAGACCATCGGAAAACAAAAAGATATTTACATTACAATTCATAACAGCAGCAAAATTACAGTTATAAAGTAGCAATGAAAATAATTTTATGGTTGGGGGTTACCACAACATGAAGAACTGTATTAAGGGGTCGCGGCATTAGGAAGGTTGAGAACCGCTGTTGTAGACTAAAGTGACTCCTTGGTTTGAAGTTTCCCTGCAAAACACTTTAATTTCTTGTGAAGTGTACTGTGTTGGAATTAGTGAGTAAAGAACAGGATAAAAAGCTCTTCATTGGTTTCTTTCCCTTAAATCCAGTGTTGATTCCTTGTGATCCTGAAAATATCACTTAATTACCGTCTCAGTTTTCTTGATTTTAAAATGGGAATGATAGTTTTCATCTGCCTCTTGAATGGGGTTGCCACATTTCTATTTGGAAAGGATATACTGTGTGTTGGGAAATAAAACAAATTTTGCTTTTTTTCATTTCTGTCGATGAAGCAGATGAAAGCAAAGCTTTTTTAAAAAATATGTATAATGTGTAAATGAACACAGAAAGTTTTTACTTATATTTTTAAATTTTATATTTACTACAACCTAGGAATTGTTCTGGAATTTTCCACTTTTCCAAGTGCAAGACCTAGCTTGCTTTCTTCTTTGTCGTTTTCCCTTTTATTGGGTGCTTTTTTCCACCACTCAGACAAGTTCTCTTCTCTAGGTTTCTGTTTTTCAGAGTGCAAAATGGGTTTGCTGTGAGACTTAAAGGATTATTAGGAGTAAATGCAGAAATATATGCAAAATAGCTGCTGTATACAGTGCCTGGTGTATCCTGGTAGTCTTTTCACCTACTCATCCATGGAGTCACAGTTCAACACAATTGTAACCTATCAATTCAATGACAATAATAAAAAACTGGGACCATCTGATAAAGGAAGAACTCCTAGTGTTCATTTAACAAACATTTTTTATCTACTGCCAGGCATTATGGTGTAGAAGCTAAGCATATGAAGAGTTATTTTGGGTACAACTATTAGAAATCTAAGTAAGCTAGTTTAAGATAAAAAAGTGATGATGGTGTGGGAAGGGGATTTATTGGAAAGATACTGAGAAATCTTGGCGAATCCACAAAAAACCTGAAAGCCACATTTCAAGAAGGGTAGGAATCAGATCTTGGAAAACCACTTTTTAAACCTAGACAGTCACTTTTATCTCCCCTGAGAGTCTAGGGGCTCTTGTCTCTGCTCATCTGTGCAAATGGCTGTCCCTCATCTAAATTTATATATTTCCAGTTTCAAATGATGGGCTCCATACTGTCCAGGGCTTTAGCTCTTTATCCCCAGTTCTTGGAAGAGAGAATCTGATTGGCATAGTCTCGGTCAAGTGTTCACCCAGACCCCCAGCAGCAATGGCTGAGAATACAGGATTGCTTACTACCAACACTGTTGCCAAGGATTCTGTTGCCATGTGTTGAGGCGCAGGAACAGGGAGGTAGAGCTGGACAGGCATGACGATAAGAAGCCAGTGTGAGTCCCCAAGAATCCCAGTCTTGTGAGGAAGATAGATTATTTCCTTACATGTAATAAATACCATAACAGAATGTAAAAAGACTAGGACAAAAGAAAGAAAGAGAAACCTAGTGGCCTATCTAAGGAGGGGATGCTTCATAGAGTGGGTAACATTTAAGCCACTAACAATAATGTCTCTGATTCTGACTCTATCACCTGTTAGTTTTGTGTCTCTGGACAGGTTTTGCATTAGCTTATCTGTAAAATGACAGTAATAATAGTGACCTACCTCATAGGGTTGTTAAAAGATTAAATGAGGTATTGCATGCAAAGAGTTAAATCCATGCCTGGAAAATACAGCAGGTCCTCAAATAACATTGTTTTGTTATAAGGTTGAGATGCTAGAGATGCTGTAGGAACTTAACTCTTGTTTATATCAACTAGCCTATGGTAAAATTGGTTCTGTTATATGTCGTTTAGCTTAAAGTCACACAGAAGCTATTGACGACATTGAGTGAGGAATTACTGTACTACTCAAAGTAAACAATTATTTTATGGCAATATTATCTTAAAATTCATAAGGAAAGGACTATTGAATGTCTAATTGCCAGTAAATTTATATTAATACATGTTCTACTTGAAACATATTTCAGGGTTTTTCTAATGTAACAATACAGGGTTATATACAAAATAGCATGTGTTTTCTAAAGGCACATACATATACTCGTATATTAAAGATCTAAAAGCTAAATTCTATCTGGGAATAAAATGGGATTTTGGATAATAGTCAAAAGGTACTTTTAGTTATTGTAATGTTTTTTGTGTTTTTCTTAAACACTAGGATATGGAGTCAATATGTCATTACAAATTGATTTTTAAAATGAATATTGATTGGTGTTTCTTCATGCTAACATAGCAGGTCCTTGATCTTACAGCTTCAGGAGTAGTCATTGTGGAAGCCTGAGCTCTTGGTTGAAGCCTCTTCACAATTGGCTGTTTTCTTTTCTCTAGGCTCTGTGATCCTCAGCCTACTGATATAATAGTTGATCCCATGTGTGGAACAGGGGCTATACCAATAGAGGTAATTACTTTTCATTAGCTTTGAGATAAGCAAGTGATACATCCAGAATGTTCTTGACTTAATGGGTAAATTAGATGTAATGAAATCACAAAGGTTGGGTCAGTGGACCCAAGAGTTTTGAAAGAATTACTCTAGTAAAGCTGGAGCTTTTGTGTAAAAGATGTAACTACTTATTACAAATAGCCAAGGACTAGGTAGATTGTAAATGGTATTTATTCATTGGATTACAGAGGAGGCTGAGAATTACTGGTGAGTCCCTTTTCTGTAATAGACAAGCTGGTAGTCTTGAATGGAAAAAATAATTGAAATTATAAGCATAAACTGGAGGAAGGTGTTTTGTCTGTTTAAAGTGAGATTATTGTTCTTAATCGATTTAGGTTCTTGGAGGGAGTAAGTATAGTTGTAAAAATGGGATATCTATGAACAATATTTGGATTTTTTAAGGTACCTCTAATTAGAAACCAAATGCTCTTAAGAAGTTTTCAAAATTACTGTCACATTGAGAGGACTCAGAAACTGCCTAAAGAAAAGCAAGAAATGGAAAGGCATTTTCAAAGTGGAGAACATTTAACAGGAGAGCCTCCTTGAATCAGTATTATCTCTTTTATAAATAATTTAGAAGAGGGCACTGGCAGTAAAATTGCTTAAACTTGTGAAACATAGTAAGTTCTTATATATAGTACACCTAAAGCAAACAGGAGATACCACAGATTCTTTGAGTGGGCAGAATTGGACAATTGAGCAAGTCCAAAGCAACCCACGAAGGGAAAAATAATCCAGACTGCAATTAGAAAATCACATGTTAATCTACATAGAATATTGTTGAGACCTAGTGTAGTATGTCATCTCATTCCACAAATGATATGTGACAGCTTGGTATTTAATGTTCTGCTGACATGATTTTGACTTAAAATTATAAAATCCTTTCAGGGATATTGTAGTTATTATTCAAAAGCCTATACAATAGAGATGACATTTTGTTTTGAAATTCTCAAATACTCCAATATATTAGATTATATAAAAATCCCATAATCACAAAAGGAGGTTAAAGGTTGGTCAGTTTGATTTGGTTAAGTTTTTCAAACTGCATTTGTATTTAAGATCTTTAATGCCTACTGTGTGCTAGACACTGCTTGGTGAGAGATTGAACAGAATACCAGACTTGAGTTCCCAGATTTGTGGAGGCAGACAGGTATTGAAATAATTAAAAAGAGAACAAGTGTAGTGGCAGAGATGTGTACAAAGTGCTTTGGGGGTGGGGGCAAATGAGAGACAACTTGGAGAGTTGGAGCTTATGTCACACAGGGCATGACATTTGAGCTGAGTCTTGAAAAATGAGTAGGAGTTCAACAAGTGCAGAAAGAACCGGAGGGCATTTCAAGCAGGGGGAATAACAAAGTTGACAGCATGCAGTGTTTTGCCACTTTAGAAAGCATTGGATTTTATTGGATTGAATGTCTCGTTTATTGACAATTGAAATGATTTTCTCTGTAATCATCTTTTTGCAGTTTGCTACTTCTGTTTTAATATATACTCTTGTCTTTTAGGGGGCTACTGAATGGACTAACTGTTATCATATTGCTGGTGATAATAATCCATTGGCTGTAAATAGAGCAGCAAATAACATCTCATCTTTACTGACCAAGAACCAAATTAAAGAAGGGTAAAAATTTTAAGGATTTTGTGGCATCTCTTAAACTTAGATAATCACTTTTCATATTGACTTTAATATCCCCAGTGCATTCTGATATCATTTAACAAATGAATATATTGAGACTCTTTAAATTTTAAAAGATTATTGAAAATGATTTATATTTTTAAAATATTTTTAAATTGTAATTTCCCTACCTTAATGAAATTTTTTATTTCCTCCTTTTTCATATATATATATATTTTTGTTTGTTTGTTTGTTTGTTTTCCCCCCACATAGTGGAAGAATAATTATATGGATTCATTTTAATTTCATAAATGTTTGAATAGTTTTTATGTTTTTATAGTCTATTTTAATGACTGCATAATACTCCATTCTATAGAAATACTATAATTTATTTAGCCTTTCCTCTATTTGGCACTTAAAAAAATCTCAGAGGGCCAGCCGGAGTAGCACGTTGGTTAAGAGCTGGCTTCGGATGCCAGAGGGCCCTGGTTCGGATCCCACATATGAGGGCCAGTGACACTGCCCTCTACAGCTAAGATGCTGAACAACAGCTCACCCTGGAGCTGGGCTGCCGTAAGTCACAGGTGATGGTGTAGGCTGCAGCCCCTGCTGCAGTGGGTTGCCATGGGCTACCGTGTGTAGCCAGCAGCCAGCGTGAGCGGCCAGCAGCCGCCGTGAGTGGCTGTCCAGAAGCCGGCGACTGATCAGCCTCACCAGGGAAAAGTGCAATGATGGTGCCAACTTGGGCCAGTGAAGCCAAGTCCTCCACAACTAGACTGAAGAACAAAAGGACAGCAATTTGTCTGTTCCCCTTCCTCCAATTCCCCAGCGCTATTCCCATCCCCCAATTCCCCAATAAAAATCTTAAAAAAAAAAAAAAAATCTCAGAGTTGCAAGAGACCTGAAATCCATCCCCATAGTGCTTAAATATCGTACAGATCTTAACCATTGGCCTTACAGCCTGTGTAAATACTTGTAATGACTATCTCTGAAGGCAGAGTCCATCTTTACACTAGTCATATCTTTTTTTTCCCCCCCTAAAGATTTTATTGGGGAATTGGGGGAGGGGAACAGCGTTGGGGAATCAGGGAAGGGGGAAAGGGAACAGACAAGTTGCTGTCCTTTTGTTCTTCAGTCTAATTGTGAAAGACATCGCTTCACTGGCCTGTGTTGGTATTATCATTGCGTTCTTCCTGGGTGAGGCAGTCGCTCGCCGCCCATTGGACAGCCGCTCACGGTGGCTCATGGCAGCTCACGAAAGCTCACACCAGCTGCCGGCCAGCTCCACTGCAGGCTATGCCGTCGGCGACTCACCACAGCCCAGCTCCAGGTCGAGCTGTTGTTCACCATCTTAGCTGTAGAGGGCGCAGCGTCACTGGCCCTCATGTGGGATCCAAACTGGGGCCCTGCTGCTCAGAGCTGGCGTCCCAAGCCAATTCCTAACCAACACACCACTAGGCCAGCCCTACACTAGTCATGTCTTTTAATGAACTGAATCTCTCCCTGAACCTCCTACAGATGTTTTTTTTCCCTTCTACTTGGGTCCATAAAGAAAAATCTTATCTATGTGTCACATGATGCCTGACATCAGATATTCAAAGGGCTACCAAACCCCCTGTTCCTCCATCCCACTCCTCCAAATCCTCTCTTGTCCAATCAAAATATTCTAAGTCCTTTAGCCCTATTCTTTTGATATCTGTGCATTGGAAGTCCACTAACCTCAGGGAAATTTTATTTTTCATCTGAGATGTATGTAATTATAAGTCTAGCCCACTACTACAAATTAAATTTAATGAAACCATCTGTGCCAGCCTTTCACCATTGTTTCAAGTCTCAACAGTCTTTGGGAAGAATTGGTTAAAATGTCACTTAGTCTGCAATTTCTTTTTTTTTTAAGATTTTATTGGGGAATTGGGGAAGGGGACCAGCCAAGTTGTTGTTCTTCAGTCTTCATTGTGGAGGGCGCCAGTCGCCATCTGGCTTCCCATCGGCAGCTCGTGGCCTGTAAGCTCAAGGTGCTGTGTTCAGTCTTAGTTGCGGGTGGGCGTAGCCACCATCCCATGTGGGAGTCAAACTCAGCAGCCTCGTTGTTAAGAGCGCACTGAGCCATCTGGGCGGCAGCTCAGTTCAAGGTGCCGAGTTCAGTCTTAATTGCAGGTGGGCGTAGCCCATCATCAAACAGGCAATCTTGTTGTTAACACCAGCTGAGCCATCCTGCCACCTCTTGGCAGCTCAGCGATAGCTGAGCAGTGGCGCAGCGTCACTGGCCCATGTGGGAATCGAATCAGTGGCCCTGTTGCTCAGAGCTTACACTGTTAAGCCAACTCTTAACCAACTGAGCCATTTGGCAGCCCAGTCTCAATTTCTTATCAGAGGCCTTATCATAAATGTTTCTCTGGTCTCCTCTGCGTATGTCCTTCATTTTCTTACAGTGGCTGGAGTATAGGTAGTGGTCAGCAGATTCGTTAAGTCCTACAGGTGCTCTACTTCCTGAATACATAGCCCAGGAAGTCATTATATCTCATGATTGACTTTAACAGATTTAGTAACACCTGCCTCCATAACCCTTAGTGCGAGGTTTATATGTATAAGTAGAAATCAATTGTTTTTAAATATACGAGTATATATTCATTTTATGCAAATATTCATTTATTACTCATACATGGTATACCTGATAATATTTTATGTCTATGTATTGGTTATCCTCTTTTCTTTGCTAATTTTGTTTTTTCCCTTTTGATTAGAATCACCAGTGCTTTGTTTTGTTCTTTCATTATACTATTTGTTCTGTGGTTTTATGCTCTATATCTTTTGTTTTTATTCCTGTTTCCCATTGAGGCTTTAAACTTTGTTATCTAAAATCTTAAGTTATATGCTGTAAATGTCTTCTTTTAAATGATAAAAGTTTTTATTAAAGCTGGCTTATGCTAAGTACTCTTGACCATATCCTGTAGATTTTGATAATTGTCTATTTTGGTTACTTTCTACATTGTTGCTTGTATGCTTGATTAATCGTCTCTCTGATCAGTTGTTTAGGACAATGCTTTTCAAACTTGAATGTGCCTATGAATCACCTGGGATCCTATTAACATACAGGTTGTGATTCAGTAGATTTAGGCTGGGACCTGGGAGCTGCATTTCCTAGTAAGCTTCTGGTCTGTGGTTTCTGGTCCTTGCAAGGGTTTAGATCATTTTTATACATAAAATTGAAAAAAATTTTTATGTTAATTTATATTTTATTATGAATTATGGTGTATTTTGTTTCATATTTATTGAGATTTTCTTGAGGTTTAGTACATGACCGGGGTTTTTTTGAAACCTGATAAAATATTTTAAAACAAATTATTTTTCTACTTTCTGACCCTCTACACCTTCACTTTTTGTCTGTTCAACCTATACTATGTCTATAAATCTTACCTAGATTTTTAATACTTTTTGGCTGATGTTGTTTTGTTGCAGTCATTGGTGCTTGTGATTCTAATACTCTTTTCAGTATCTGTGCTTCCTCCCATTGTGTAGTGATTGCCTTCACTGCATTTTTTCTTAAATTCTTCATCAAATATCAATAGTATAACCTTCATTTGTTCATAATCTTTGATTTGCCTTTAATTCTTAGCCTGTGCATTAATGCCTGTATTTCTTTTTTTTTTTTTAAGATTTTTATTAGGGAATTGGGGGTATGGGAACAGCGCTGGGGAATTGGGAGAAGGGGAACAGACAAGTTGCTGTCCTTTTGTTCTTCAGTCTAGTTGTGGAGGACTTTGCTTCACTGGCCCAACTTGGCACCATCATTGCGCTCTTCCCAGGCGAGGCAGATCAGTCGCCGGCTTCTGGACAGCCGCTCACTGCGGCTGCTGGCTACACACCCTGGCTGCTGGCTACATACGGTAGCCCATGGCAACCCACTGCCACAGGGGCCGCAGCCTACGCTGTCGCCTCACAGCAGCCCAGCTCCAGGTTGAGCTGTTGTTCAGCATCTTAACTGTAGAGGGCAGTGTCACTGGCCCTCACATGTGGGATCCGAACCAGGGCCCTCTGGCGTCCCAAGCCAGCTCTTAACCATCGCGCCACTCGACCGGCCCAATGCCTATATTTCTTAAACCAGTTGCCTTAACGGGGAGGATTTAAATGTTTTATTATACTGTCTTCTGTCACCTATATTTTTTATCTTAACTGTTTCTTTGCCTTATTGTTTATTAATAGTCTGATACATGTTTTTTAATCTTAAAATACCTGTATTTAGTAATTTTAACGTTATCTGTGTCTTTAGGTCTCCTGTTATTACTACAGTCTTACCAAACTTTATCCTTCAGATGTGTCACCTCACAATCTTTTGTTTTTCTTCTTTGTTTTCAGTGTATGTTTCAATGTTTTGCATCATCAGTGACATAATTTACTGCCTCAACACTGTTTTCAAAGTTGACTATTCCAGTTCTTTGTATTGCAATATTTTTCCCCTTAATCCATTCTTAAATTGTAGATGAAGCAGATATAGACATCTTTTGAAAACCAGTCTTAACCATTTAAAAACCTTTGTCATTCTTATAGATTTTCATTGTAAGTTTTATGTCCTTATGCTTTCTTCCTACATTCTACTTGAAAAATTTTGCTTAAGTTGTTGATATTGCCACTGATATTATTTTAGTAGCATTTTGTACTTTATAGCAGTCTCTTTAGAAAAAACTTTTGTTTTTAATTTCATACTTCAGAATGTTTGAAGCACCTTTCCTTTGTCCCCACAGCAAACTGTCCTGGGGCTTGCCCATAGATGCTATTCAATGGGATGTCTGCAATCTGCCATTGAGAACTGGCTCTGTGGACATTATTGTAACTGACATGCCATTTGGAAAAAGGTAGACCTGTTTTTTTAAAAAAATGAATTTCACTTTCACTTGTTCCCTGTACCCATTTATCTTCTAAATTTATTGTATTTTCTTTAAGATTATGTCAGAAATCTTAATCCTTGGTCAGGCACAATGCAAAAGTTACGAAGGAGTTTGGGCGCAATGCATCTACTAGATGCATGTATGATATTTATTTAAATTGAAAATGAATGAAAATAACGTGTAAGCATGTTTATTTATTCAGAATGAAATTTTAATTTTCCACAAAGTAAAAACAATTGTTTATTACATAAATTCAGTATAAAAATCAACATAAATTCAAAACAATCTGTGAGATCAGTTGCACCCAATGGAGGGTTAATTCCTTTTAGCAGACTGTCAGCAGAGCAGTTTTTCACTTAGGAATTGTAAGATGCCTTAACCCATTTTTTTCTTCTGAGAACTCAGGAATGTATTAACTACAGTTTGATCCTGACCAACACAGGAGATTCATCTCCTTTCTAGTCCATTGTTGAATTTCATGATACTTCACACAGAAAGGTTGAGGAAAACTTGATTTCTCAGTATAAATGATTTCTAATCACTTGTTTGGTTTATATAACTTATCTATTAGGCTTATTAAGGGGACAATTTAGATAACTATTATAGTTGTCAAAGTTTTTTTCTTTAACCAATTCATCCAATTCAAAACGCATATGCAGTTTACTGTCTGATCACTCACTTCATTGACATAATGGCAAAGCTCTAGCTTCCAAAATGCAACTATTTTTCATACCTCAGGATTTTATTGCTATGCGTTTTAATAACTTCTCAGGTCATATAAATCTAGATATTTATTTTTTTGTAACAGTGTTTGACTCATTGGACCTTCTCCTACAGGATGGGCTCCAAGAAGAGAAACTGGAACCTTTATCCAGCTTGCCTACGGGAGATGAGTCGTGTCTGTAGACCAGGGACAGGCCGAGCTGTACTACTTACTCAGGACAAGAAATGTTTTACCAAGGTGCTGTACAGGAGCTCAAACACTCAGCTTGTGGCAACTTTAGAATCTTGGGGATAATAGTTTGAGTTGGATTTGTTTTCTTTCCCCAGTCTTTCTTATTGGCAACAAAGACCCTGGTTGGTCTAAAAGCAGGTAGATCATAAAAGCTAATTACTTTTATGCCTTTTGTGTATACACAGGCATTATCTGGAATGGGACACTTATGGCGGAAGGTGCATACCGTCTGGGTGAACATAGGGGGTCTTCATGCTGCAGTTTATCTTCTGAAACGTACACCTCAAGCTTTTGTTCATTCTTCAGAACAAGATGGCGAAAGAATTCCTTGGTAATGCAAAGAATGATTAACATTATTTGTGCTTCCTGACACTGGAAATGTTAACATGAAGAACTGGCTTTGAGAGAAAAATAGTATTAACAAAAGTGCAGTTTGCACTGTTTAAACTGGTCTAAAGCTCTTCACCCTGGTTAGCAAAAGATATGAATGTAATGTTATGGAATTTAAAAAGTTGAGAAAGAACTTTTCTCTGGAGCTATTTTGAAGGGGTAGCTGGGCAATTAGTACTTTTCTTAAAATGCTTTAAAGATACTAGTCTACTAAAATGCTCTGGGAATTGGGTTTAGAACATTTTCAGGCTTTATAATAGTTCCCCTTTTCCACTCTAACTACTCTGTCCTAATGGAAAGGCAGAGAACATAATCAGAGCATCTTAAGCAACATCTCATTGCCTGTGCAGCTTTGTTAGTTAGTTCTCTTTACTTCATCCTTAAAAAAATGAAGCATTATTACATTTTGTGAAATAAGGTTTTGCCCCACAATGAGATGAAGTCTCAAGACCTATAGGAAAGTTTACTATTGCCTTAAAAATTAAAACTTGCATGTTATTCAGATGACACAGAACTAAAACAGAAGACTAGAACTTATCAAAGGAATTACAAAAATAGTTTACTGTTAGCAGTATAGGACATTTCTATTTTTAAATACATTGTTAGATGAAGTATGGGACCAAGTCAGATTTAAAGAAATTTTATTTTTCTTTCAGTACACTAAAGTGGTGTTGCTTTTCAAACACAAACCTGTCAAAATATTTTTGTTTGGTTTCTTAAAAGAACTAGAGAACAAACTGATATATCTTTGAATTAAATAAAAAAAAACAACTTCATCTAAGTTTTTTGTCGTTTTCTCTTGGTCACTGATCATATTGAGTTGCTTTTCCAATTGCAGAAAGTCCTTCCTCAGACAGTGGAAAATGAATGACATCAATATTAAGTCCTTAGGAAAACAGTGCTTCCCTCGGACAAAGTACTTGGGGTTTTATGTGGAATTCTTTATAGTATTCAAAGTTTGCTTTGGAATTTCTGGCTGTATTCAGTTTAGATTTTCAGTGTCGTATTAGTAACTAATAGTACTACTCATATTACCTTTTGATGTGTCACTTTAGAATAAAAGGACATAGTATTTCTTTTCTTTGACAGAGTAACTGAGTTCACATTTAGCAGCACAGCCAACATTCCTAGTCTGGATTCTGATACTACCTTACACTTGCAAATGAGTGTTTTATATCCTAGCCTAGCGTTTTTACCATTGTCAGAATGCAATTGCATTATTATGGGTTCAACATAAAACTTTTCACCTCTGACAAAAGAAACCATTTAAACCTCTAAGTGTTAGTGCACAGAACTAGAAAGTACAAGGACCGTGTCTGTTTTTACCACTGTTTACCAAGTACTTTGGCCCAATACCGGACAGAGTAGATATTTAATGTTAAATTAGTACTTTTACATATTGGCTTAGTTTTTAAGTATATCAAATTTGTGCATGATCCATCATAGCTTTAGTCTTATTAAATACCACCATAAAAACATGACCAGATTGATTTAAGATGATGCAAATATGTAGAGAGCATTGTCTGCAATTGTTTACAATCTTCTTCTCTAGTATTGTTTTGTAATCTGGTGACAGGAACGAGAAATGGCTGAGGATTCAGAAAAGCTGGGCTTGAGTTATATATGACACTGCCACCTACTAGTTCTGTGACCTTGATTTTTAACCTCTGAAATGAGCCTCCTACACCATAGGAATGTGAAAAGATGGGAAAGTAATCTTAATATTTAAACACAAAATGAGTGAGTTATGATCCAGACATTCTGTTACTGGGAAAATCAATATATTTTAGAGGGAAAAAAACAACATAAACATTGAAACAGATTTTATAAATTCAATGAAAAGAAGATAGTTATCTACAGACCGACAATGTGATCAAAAAATACGGTGAATGTTTAAATTAAAAAAAAAAAAATGTTACAGTAAAAGACATTGCCATTAATCCCCTTCAAAATACTCCCCCTCACTTTGAACACACTTATCCCATCGTTCTTGCCATTTTCTGAAACAGTTCTGGAAGTCCTCTTGCGTGAATGTTTCTAGTTGCGCTGTCGTGGCTGCCTCAATGTCCTGAATCGATGCAAAACATTTACCTTTTATGGTCATTTTGACTCTGGGGAAGAGCCAAAAGTCACATGGTGCCAAATCCCGTGAATAAGGTGGATGAGGACACACCATAATGTTTTCATTTGACAGGAATTGTCGTACCAAAAGCGATGTGTGACACGGAGCATTGTCATGATGGAGGATGAAACCATTTGCCCATTTCTCAGGACGTTTTCTACGCACATCATTTCTTAAACGCTCCAATAAGCCCTTATAATATTCAGAGTCCACCGTGGTGTTCCTGGGTACAAACTCAGCTCGCACAATTCCACCAAGGTCAAAAAACACAATTAACATCACTTTGATGTTAGATCTTGATTGACGTGCTTTTTTTGCACGAGGAGAACTGAGTGATTTCCATTGAGAACTCTGAACTTTGGTCTCAAGACCATAACCACAGACCCAAGTTTCACCTCCTGTGATGACACGTCTTAAAAAGCTGGAATCTGAAGCGGCACGATCACGCAACTCCAACGAAATTGACAAACGCTGTTGCTTTTGTTCAACAGTCAAAACGTGTGGAACAAAGTTCGCACTCGCTCGCCTCATGTTCAAATCTGTTGTTAAAATGCTTTGAACAGAGCCATAAGAGATGTTGAGATCCTCAGAAATTTCTCTAATAGTCAATCGCCTGTTTGATCGCATCATTTCACTTACTCTTTCAACATTCTCTTGGGTTTTTGATGTTGAAGGACGTCCCGATCTCTCTTCGTCTTTAATCGACTCACAACCATTACGAAATCGCTCAAACCACTTGTAAACTGTCTTCATGGTCACTGCAGCATCACCATAAACCAATTTTAACATTTCGTGTGTTTCTTTAGCACTTTTTTGTAGTTTGAAACAAAATTTCATGTTGATGCGTTGTTCGTAATCCATGATTTTACGGCACACTTTAAAACACACCTTCTCAACCGTAGCTCACACCCAACTGACTGTACCAAACAAGTTGAAATTCGTCACACACTGTTACTAAGGTTCGATGCACCACTTCCCGCATTGAAGATCCCTGCCTTTCCGTTGGATGGCACTCGACAGCAGCATTTACCGTATTTTTTGATCACACCTCATACTAGTGGCAAGAAAGGGAAACATTTGTTAAACATTTCTTTTAAAAAACTGCCAAACTGTATTGTACATTCTGATTTATCAGTGTCAGATAGATGGCTCATGTTTCCACTGCGAGGACGGAAGGATAAGTTGAAGACTGAAAAAGAGGAAGTATTTTAAAAGGTCTATAAAGTACCTAAAATATAATGAAGCACAATAAAGCCTAGGGTGCTTAATATTAATGAGATAGGCATTGAAAAAGTAAAACTTCCTTATTCTCAGCATAGCCTTTCCCAAAAATTTCAGGTGAGGTATGGGAATTTCAGTGGGGATATGGAAAAAGCCTGAAAATTCTAAGAGAAAAAAAATAAAATTATTGTACCTTGGTATATATTTTTTAAAAAGGTTCAGGACAAACATCACATACATACAGGTATCCTATAACAAACTTTAAAAACGTGTACAATGTGAAAAAAATACTGTCTAAACAGGTCTACTCTGTCACCGTTAACTTTTGCACCAATGCTAACATTTCTGTTAATCAGTTGTAGCTGTCCAGTGATATACTTTATGATAAAAGCAATCTTCACTGAAAAGGAGAATGGTATTAGTTTTTCTCAAGGCCAAATTCTAAATTTCCAACTGCCTGCTATAGTTACCCTTGTGTGTCCCACCTCAGACTCAACTTGAACATACCTTTCTCCACTAAAACCTGCTTCATGTCCTAGCATACCCCTTCTCCCAGTCATCCATGCTTAATACTGGGAGTCATTTATTTTTTTTAAGAAAACTCCATCCAGTTATTCAACAGGAATTTGAGTGTTTACTATATACACTGTGCTAAAGCAGCTGTTTCTCAAACTTCTTGGTCTCAGGACCCCTTCCCATAAAAATTGAGGGCCCCAAATAGCTTTGCTTACCAATTTTTACCATATTAAAAATTAAAACTGAGAAAAAATTTAAGTTAGTAACAAATGTATTACGTTAACATTTTCAATGAAGTAACTGTATTTGCAACAAACAGTGGACTGTTTTATATTTTTGCAATTCAGTTCTTTCAAATGTCTGCCTTAATAGAAGGCAGCTGGATTTCTGTTTATCTTTCTGCATTCAATTGGTTGAGATGTTACTTACTTGCAATTTTTTGTAATTTCATCTATTGGCCATTTGGAAAATATTGGTTCACTTAGTTACATAAATCTACCAAATGTTGACCCAGTTCATTATATAATATCTAAAAATCATATTACCATCACTACCTATCTCATAAAAAAAACCTAAGTACTGGAAAGATATCAAGCACCTGATAGTAGATACAAGTTTTCCAGAAATTCTAAATTTTACCTCAACGTTTGAATTTTATCATGGACAACACTATCAATTGTTTTCCTTGAAAGGCTCACTTCCTTTATATCTGAAAAAATGTCTGCCAAATAGCCAACTCTGACAACCAAAATTTGAGTCACTCAAGTAAAAATGGTGTTTCAAAAAAGCAGTGCCTAATTCAACTTGCAACTCATTTGCACAAGTGCTTTTTATTGAAACCATTATACTTTGACACGTAGCATAAGTACTATATGCAAACTTTCCATTTCATCACTCATAATAGTTATGCACCCAGGATTCAGATATAATTTTACTGTTCTCACGACATGAAGTGAAACTGCTCCCCCCCCCCCAGGTGTATACTGCAAATGCATGGCAGTGAAGAATGACTACTACAGTCTGGTGGCACTGCCTTGATTTATGCCAAGATGCCAGCAGTTTTACCCGCTTTTGCTTTTTGACTATTAGTGAAAACATCAAGATAAACCATGAGATTTTAAAAAGTTTTTCAACATTTGACTATTTCAGGACATGTTTTGTTTGTTGCCAAGCTTTCACTTAAGAGTCTCTTTAACTAGTTCACACAGATGGACAAATACAAGCAAAATAACAAGCCCAGCCATGTTCATAGGTTCATCCATTTATAAGGCATAAGTACACTTCTACAGATGAGATATTAATGCAGACTTCGTGTCTGCACACAAATCTTAAATATGACAAGTTACTGTATTGTTAAAGTGACACTACCATGATTTTTAACTTTTCATCCGGCAGACATTCAGCAGTGTCAAATGTATATGGCTTTTTGTAGTGTTTCTCAGCTATTGTTTTTCTCCAGCCAATACAATAACTTACTTCAGTAGCTTTTTCTTATAGTTTCTTTGGAGTTGATTCTTCCTTATCTTTTTATTATTAACACTTTCAGATATAATGTGAGTTGAAAAAGTAATCTTATAATCTTTTTTAAGCCAGCAATCCTCAAATAAGAAAAATACAAATTGGTTTATTTTAGAAGTTATTAAATTCTAAAATAAGTTGTAGTTAAATTTTAAAATTTAGAAGTTTTAAGAAAATATTGAAAACAGTACTGCATAACACAATATAATGTACTTATGTTTATACTTAGGCACAAAGAAAATAGGATTTTATAATAACAACTATAGAATATTGAGGACTGCTGGGATTATAGAAGGTATAACCTAAAAAAGTCAGTTAATTCTTAAGAACAAATATTCATATCCTAAACCTAACACCTTAGAAAACTGTAGAAAATTCAAAAATGAATATGCAGAGCACCATTCAATGAACATAGTGATGATCTCATCGTACATCATGTAGCTCTGCACACTTGTGAGAATTGAAAAGGTAAGTAACAGCTTTGTATTATGAAGAAAATTTGACATCAAAGACCTCCCTATGCTTAGGCAACAAGGATACAGCCATAAACAAGTACTGTCCTGCTCTCAAGGAGTAACCTAAAAAAGTTTAAAAAATTACAATTACTAATTTAATTACAATTGTGAGAAATTCTATGACAAATTCAAGTTGGGGGACCCAATGTAGCAGAGTTGAAGGCATCAAGGAAGACTTCCTTGAGAAGTGATGTGTTGAGACTGTCCTCAGGGACGGACATTCAGTCAGTAATTGAGTCCTTTAACTTCGTTTCTATCTTGATTGCCGTCACTGTACCAGACCTCATCACTTCGTCTGGAATACTGTAAAAGAACCTCCTAAGAGGTCTCCCTGCCTTCAGATTCCTCCATTCCTACAACCCATCCTGTATCCTGCAGCCATATTAAATTTCCTAAAAGACTATTTCCTTCAGAGAAAGGTGGTACCATAAATGGTAAGGAATACTGACTTATGCAAGTCAGACCAGAGTTTAAATTCCTGGCCCTTAATTTGTTGCTGTATTTACAGGAAAGTTGTTCAACCTCACTAAGCTTTAGCTTCCTACACTGTAAAATGGGGTTTTATACATCAGGACCACACTAAATACATTGGGAAGGAGTTTGGCCCACTATCTGGTACACAATTGGCACTCAATAAATATTAGTTCATTTATTCAACTTAACTATGTTACCATTAGCTTTTGCCTATTGTATGCACTAGAATATGTTGCCATTTAGCATAAAAAGTATGGGATGACATTTAAGCAAAGGTCAGTAAAAAGAAGACCTGTCAAAGGTGTTCACGAGAATTCATACAATTAGATATGGGGTTAGTTAGCTTTTAAAATAACTCATTCTATAAACATGATCTGAAATGTGTTACTGCTGTCATCAGGAAGAGCCAATCTTAAACATGTTATGAGAAAAAAAACCACCTAGAAAATAAAGGGTAACTAAGTACCAGGACAAACTAAAGGTCAATAATGACTGTGAACTCTAGGAAAAAAGCTGGAAAGCAGGATTATTAAATGTAACCATGACT